CCCTTTGCGGGGAATGCCGTCTAAAATAAAAGAATAGTACACAAAAAATTAGCCTCATTAAAAGAGGAAAAGGACGGTCAAGTCTCGGCACTTGGGATTCTGTGTCGCCAAATGCCATCGGACCGGTCCGGAATAAATACGGCAGAAGGGCATTATATTTTTAGTTTGTGGAATTGTTGGCAGCAGCGAACTGGTTGAGCAGAGAAAGAAAGAAATGCACTTCACAACAAGTCCAGCTAAAAAAAAATTTTACTCTATGCATGGAATGCGGCCGTATGATTCCGCTAAAAATCAGGATAACTTCCCACTCAGTTACAGCAGAAGATTTTCGAGATGAACTGTATCGAACTGTCTTTAATTGCCCTTCAGTAACTCTATCAAAGTGTAAAGCAATGAATGTTTTAACATTCAGCAACTTCTGGACGAAACTGTGCAAGAAGCGTGCACGTAGGGCTATCTTGTTAGTGCACTTAAAGCTACGTATTATCAAGAGAGAGAGATGGCGGGATCGCATGTGTTGCAAGAAGTTGAATTCTGAAAACTTCCACTGCCCGTTTCAAGTTTCACGCTTCTATCATTAACTGCCCTTCAGTGACTGCTCCGGAACGCTTGTCTGCAATAGACTGGAAATGATTCCACAGAGCTTTATCTATTAATAAGTGGTCAGCGCACCGACTGTCGGCGCAAAGATGCGTTTTTCGTGTAATTTCCCGCAGCTTTTTGCCGCTAACTGCGCGGTTTTTCTCGCAAATGCTTCTAGATAACTGAGACTGACCATCTCTTTAAAATTTCAGCTTTCTAGCTTTCCTGGTTTCTGCGTCAGCAATTTACTCGCGAAAAACTTTTGCAGGACCGTACACAGGAACCACGCATACCCGGGGAGTAGATTTGAACTCATTAGTACCTATGTAGACGTGGAATTTCCCCTCAAAATTCCAGTCTTCTAGCTTTTCAGGTCCCTGAGTTAACAACCTACCCGATAAGGTTTCGCGGGCCCGTGTATCGGGACCATGCCTACTCGGGGTCTGGGTTTGCGCTCATTAATACCCACTTGGGTAGGGAACATCTCCTTAAAATTCCAATCTTCTAGCTTCTCAAATTCCCGAGTTAGCAAATTACCGGAAAAAAACTTTGGCGGGCTCATACGTGGGTATCACGCGGGCAAGAGAGCCTGCTTTGAAGATGGGGCCCAAACACGCATGTAGATTATGTTCCCAAAGTTTCAGCCCTGTAGCTTCTGTAGGATTCGAGATGAAAAATCGGTACAGACGAACACTCAGACAAACTCTCGTCAACATGCGTTTTCTGCATTGCATAGATGTAAAAAAACGCATAAAAAACAACAATAAATTTATTGAAATTCTGTTTATCATTAACACGCATGTGTGCATAGCTAACGTGTCAACAGTATTTTTATCACATAACAAAGCATTCTCTTTGCCCATAAAGACAGAGAAGTGTAATAATCGAACATTTCCCTTATACTGCTTCCTCTTTGCCATGTTTCTCGGGCTTACCACCACGAATTCTGCCGGTTCGGCGAGCTGCGATAAGACCCACTTTACGACCAGCACTGGTACCACGTTTCACGGTTGATGGATGTCCAATGTGCTGATGGTTACCACCACCGTGCGGATGCTCCACAGGGTTCATCGCAACACCACGAACCATTGGCCAGCAGTTACGCTTGGCCTTATACTTGTGATAGGCATTTCCAGCTTTCAACAATGGCTTATCGGTTCTTCCACCACCAGCAACAATACCTTCAACGGTCGCAGAAATTTTAGCTTCCAGGAATATTTCACGAAAAAACCAGTGGAACTAGTCCCCTCCTAAGGGGCTCCCCTCCTCCCCTCCCCAAATGATCTTTAATAAAAATGCAATTTCACGCCAAAGTAAAACTAACCGATCATTGCTCGATTTGAGGAATCCAAGACTTTTTTGGCACCAGACGGTAGACGTACACGTGTTTTCTTGGTTTCCGGATTATGTGCCACAACAATTGCATAGTTCCCTAAAAAAAAAAGATGAAAACCCTGTAATTTCTGCAATTATCATTTACAATCTAGCCTCTGCAAAACAGGGCAAAACAGGGCCACCCCTCTTCCCTTTTTTTTTTGGATGAGACAGATTTGTCGTACAAATCGTGGATAGCTGTGCCTAATTTTCAGGCTGTATTCCACAGGACATCCCGTAAGTAGTCCTTGATCTTTATCAATTTCACCACAAGCAGTAGCTAATCGACCCCTCCGTCGTATGGGCTAGACAGGCAATATTTCATGAAGCTCCAATCAAGCAAAAAACTGTGGAACATAACATTTTTTGGTTATCCTGCAAAACGCCATCCCCGGATATCGCTCGAATTTTTCAAACTTGAACGTCGTAATGAGTTAATTAGTCAAATTAAAGCTAAAACTGAAGAAAACTCTTTTCCGTCCTCCCCCCG